TTATCTAACATTCAATTAGCCACACCGAATTGGTCGAAGTCACCTAATCAGACGAAGATTGGACGCTCTCGATTTGATGATAGCATCAAATTGAAGGCAGGCAGGGCTGAGAGAACTCCTTTGTTTGATTTGTTGTTACCTGTTAAGGGGAGCGTCTACCCTAAAATTGAAAATTTTTACTTTTTCGGTTTTTATACTAATTTTAAAGCTGACATTCTGCCCTATCCAACGGTACCACTGCCATCTCTCTACGTTGATTTATGATTTCACGACATTTCATGAAAGGGGGGCGGGTGGGGGAGTTCTTTAAGTAATTAGATAGGAACTAATTAGCTGCTGAGCTCTTTAAATATAGTGTCTACTTGAGTTGTGCTGCAGTTACGTGTTTAGTCTCATCTTAAAGCTGACATTCTGGCCTATCCAATGGTACCACTACCATCTCTGTACGTCGATTTTCACGTACACGACACTTCATGAAAGGGGGGCGGGGGGGTAATTCTTTCAGTAATTAGATACGAGATAATTCGCTGTCCACCACTACAAATATAGTGTTTTTGTGAGGTCCGACTCAGTGTGCCTCCGGGCTTTGTAGGGAGAGATGCGCATGTAGTTGCTCCCATCATCCTTGAGTGGAATCAAGCTCCAGAAACGTTTAGTTCGGAATCTATGCTACATTGAGCGCATATTGTGGTGCGCGCGGACTTTGTCGCGCTCTCCTCAACATTCACACTTATTGTCACGGAAAACCTATCTCCTCCTAGAGTTTTGAAGCTCCAACAATGAGACATATACCATTCGATTTGCAATTGAAATATCTAGAGATTCGTCGTAGCTTTTTTTCAATTTCGTTATAGTTTTGAAAATAATTTGAAAAAAGGGAAGGGAAATTGGGGAAAATCGAAAAATTTTCGAAAATTTTGGGAAAAATGCTCCCACATTCACAAAAATTCGAAATTCGAAAAAAGCTACGACGAATCGATAGATATGGTCCTTACGCATCGAATGATATGCGTCTTGATGTTGTAGCTTGAAAATTCTAGGAGGAGATAGATTTCTACAGTACCCCCTTTTTTGGCCGTTTTCTAAGAATTTCACGTTTTCTTTCATTTTTTTCGAAAAATTGACACGAATAAAAGCTGTCTATTTTTTGATTTTACATATGTGTACCAAGTTTCAAAGTGATCCGTCTGTAAATAGCCGAGATAATTTTTGGGGCAGACGCTCCCCTTAATCTCGCATCCATTCCATTATTTAGCCGGCAATATCGCTTTCGCATATCGGCACGAGACCATTTTCCAGGTCATGGTTTATAATTATTTAAGCAGCTCATTAACATTCAAGTTATTAATGTCAACGGCGAGAAATAATTCGTGTCACTCAATTGTCGTAATTAATGATTAAGACGTTAACCCTTGATTTTTGCAATCTTATTTCATGCTTGCTGAGTAAGTTTCTCTTCGAATCCGTGCTGTGTTCGGTGGGAAAGAATTACTAACGATCATGCAAACAGAGAGAGGTTAACTGAAGTTGCCGAGCCTCAATCATTTGTACGATAATTACAGTTTTTGGTGATTTCTAACAGCTGTTATTACAACAGTAATTTTATGTATATTCTCTCGTCACGGCTAAAAAAAACTTCAGTTATTACTTGGATGAGTGTAATTATACACGACAAAGCGTAGCATGATCGCCAGAAGAAAAAGAATTCTAACTTAAGCTGGTCAAAATAATCATCACGCTGGTGCTGCAAACAAGCATTGATATCTAGACCAAGATTCTGCTATACACCCGACTGCTGTGAGAGCCGCTTATATGTATATATGAACTGTCATATTATTTCGCTCTGTCGGACCAAGTCAAACGCTCCCTTATGTACACAAAGCACGTGAACTGAACTGGTCTTTGTTGGTGCATGCCATTTGCAGTACTATATGCGAAATGCATAATGAGATTCCTAAAACACGTTCCATGCTTTTAATTTTGTATGCAAATGCTAATATTTTAGAATGGCGTAAGAACTGTGGCACAACTCTTAGAAGATAACAGGCTGGAACTTGCTCCGACAACTTGGGTAACCTCTTCTTGTTATGTGAGATGTTTCGCTTGACTATCTATTATGATCATATAAACAACTCTTTTTTTACCACGTTTTTCTTAGCTCGCTTTCGTGTCTGTCTGTCTGTGATGATCAAATCTTGCAATCGACATTTCACCAACTTTCCCGCTAGCTAGCACTCTGAAACTTTTAGGGAAGCTCATCTCCCGATAACAATACAATATATGGAGTAACGAATAGTGATAGAAAAATTCGAAATAGTGGTTGAATTCAAAATTGAAATTAAGGCATGCCTAAATGAAGATGCGCCCCACGTTTTTTGTTTTAGATGTAAAATATTTTAACTGAAATACAAAAGACCAAGAGAATGAAATCAAACGGAGATCAGTAGCTGCCGTAAAATTATTTTCTACTTTTGAGTCCACATGAAAAACGTGGTCTTTAAAAATTTTTTTTATACATTTTATTTATCGTAACAAATTGTCATGTTGCAATCAAAATCTTACACAGGAAATCAAGATAAAATGGGCTTATTCTTCTGCGCCGACCCCAATATAAAAATTAGAAAAGATAGCGCATTTTAAGCATTTTAAAACGTAATACTCGTTTCATTATTTCAACTTCTTTCCCCGCAGGTACTTTAAATTAATACCTTGATACTTTCGATTAGGTTTAAGTGTTACACTTCGGTTCGAGATAATCGAAAACGTTGCTGCTGTATTTTCTTAAGACGTTTCAATTCTTGGATAGTTTACTACTCCAATAACTAAAATAGCGTCAATAAAACGAAATTCTCACGGATATTTTCGACACTAAACGAGCTATCATGCAAATATCATTAAGTGGAAAATTGCAAGCTTCACAGTAATCACAGATAATTATGCAGTTCAGATTCACAAATTTCGACGTTTGCTCGGGCGACGACGACAATAACCAATGATTTAGGTGACCATAAACGGCTAAGGGTGTGAGCGGTGAAATGGAGCGTGAGACGCGTGACTGTCGTTGCACTGAACTGCTGCGTGTGAAGGTTGACTTGACGCAACCTAAGCGCGCTCTCTGTTGCCTGCAGGCTGTACGTGTGTCTTATTTTACCTCCGACAGCCAACGACCAACGCGTTCACGTCATGTCCGCAGGATTCATTGTCGTCGAGTGAGATAACTTTCTCCATGTTTATTTTTAAACAAATAAATAGCCTTTTTGCTGTTAATTTGGCCGTAGGCCTGTCGCCGATTCTTTGACATCGCAGAACATCCGAAGCTTGTTGCGGGCTCGAACTCGCAACTCACTGGCCACTGCTTCAAAATTTCTTTGCCCGCCTGGGCCTCCTTGCCGATTCTGACCAGAAACTGGCGCACAGAGCTGGGATCGGACCCGCACCTTTCTGTTCCTATTTGATACTGCAGAACTGCACTGTAACCCCTGGACCACCCTGCCTGACTATGATTGGTTTGCACGCGGAGTTTCTAAGACATTATTTTCCCGGTTTATCATTATTTTTTACTGCGAGAATAATGAACAATTTATTTTTCATTGTCGAATCGGATTAAACAACCAATATTATGTTAGGAAACTATCGAATTCCATGTTTTGCACCGATCCAACATTGCATAGGGATAAAAACAGTTTCTGTTAATATAAACCACTACAGTACTATAATGTGGTTTATCTAACACCTCAATGTAAATAATCTCTAACACCTCAATTTTTATTGTATTTTTAACTAGTTACAAAGTGAATCCCTATTTTCTCAGCAAATATCATATACGAGTGTTGAATGCTGTTTGAATGCGTCGATGCGGTGCATGGATTCATGTTGCTGCGTGAGAATGCAAATTGCCGGGAGGCATCCTAACTCCAAAGTACTTGCCAATTTCCCATATTTAGGTTTAGTATAGCGGCAACTACCGGATGCTTAACATGTGTGCGAAGTTTCGCTGTCTTTTATGCATCGTAGTAACAGTAATAAGCTCTAGTATGAGCTCTTGTGCTGTGTTTATACCAACATAAACATTTTTTTCACACTAGCAAGACTCGAGTCAAGGTAAATATGGTAACCTTGATTAATTCCTTCACTTAGGAACTTTGAAAAGAATAGCGTTGTTTAACAGGTCACAGATGCAACTGTTGAGTTTGTTGTGTATGCAACTTATATGTATAAACTTTCATGCCACTCCAGCGTGAATCGGGAAAAACCGTATCGGTTTTTGCGACAAAAGATGTAGAAAGAAGCATGTTATCTCCAATCTTTCCAGCTATTTATTAATTCAGAAAATTTTTCGGGTTTAAATCAGGTCAAGTATTTTTAATGATGATAATTTATTTTGGGGAGAGATTAATACTACCATAACTCTGATCTGATCCACTGACAGTTACAACATGAACATGGAACTAATGCTATGAATTATTTCTATGGACTGGTAAAGTTGTGTTTATCTTATGGATTGTTTCCCTTTTCATCTTGATGAAAAGCATAAGTCTTAGACTCTCAGTCTTCAAGTCTTGGACATCATCATCATGAGTTCATGACATGAAAGATGATTACGTATACTAATTAACTGATGTGTTTGTGAGTGGAGTACCTATTAAATAAACAGATTGGCTATTGTGAATTGTGATACACAATTAATTTGTGTAGTTGGACATGAGCTGGCAACTTCAGTTAGTAGTAGCCTGTGCCCTATAAGCCTAGCAGGCATTAAGGTCAGAGGAGAAAAACTCTAAAGTTCTACTTTAAATGTATAACAACCTTGAGTTTAATAGTTTTTATTCTAGGTTTGTTACTTGATACTGCATACTGGGACTTAGCTTAGTACAAATAGATAAACCTGCATGCATTCTGCAAAGCAGTATAGTATTGTAAATCATTCAGCTCATATTTCTCATGCTCCAGTTTGTTGATATTTCACTTGGCAAGTTTCTAATGTGTATATTTTTTTCCAGATCATGGATGGATGTGGCAGAAGTAGTTTAGCACTCCTGGTGCTCATAGTCCTGGGTGTGAGTGCTCTAGAAAATGGCCTGGCCAGAACGCCCCCAATGGGGTGGCTGGCCTGGCAGAGGTTCAGATGCAACACAGACTGTCAGAATGATCCAAATAACTGCATCAGGTAAATTATACAAATTTCTTGATGCTTATAGTTAGGTTCCATTGGTAAAACTAACTTAACTGACAATTATGACTGGCAGAATGATCCAAATAACTGCATCAGGTAAATTATACACATTTCATGATGCTTATATGTAAGATCCATTGGTAAAACTAACTTAACTGACAATTATGACTGCCAAAATGATCCAAGTAATAGATAGCATCATGTCAATAATAAAAAGTTTGTAATGCGTAATAGTTTGCTTTGTCTGAACTGTGAGATAGTTTTCAGAGGCATTATCCATTTGAAAATTTCCTTGTTGTATCCTATTTACCCCTATTATGTACTTATATCCACCAAAATTTCATTGTTCAATGGGTCTTGTTATTTGAAAATAAATGTTGATACATTCGAAACATAGTTAAATATATTATAAGTACTTGCTGCGACCTGCCATTTGATCTATTAATGTCATCTGTAGAATTTTTTGACTTGCTGAAGATTAAAAGTTTAAAATTGGAATATAATGCATTATCTGGTCATTAATCATTTGTGTTTCAACAAGAAAATTCCATCATCTAATGCTAATAATAGTTCAGTACACTTATTTGACACTTATCACCGATTAAATCAATTCTGAACTATCAAAATTACTCCAGATTGTCAATTCTTAAGTACACTTCTTATTCTTTGTTATCATCAATTGAATTGATAGTGTGACTGTCAGAATGATTCAACCTTAAAAATCAGCAAAATTACAGCTGATTCATAATGACAGTAGGTATGTATTTAATATTTCTTAATATAATTTCTTATTGGTTGGTTATGCAATACAAAATAAGGAACACGACACCAATCCCACTCAAAATTGCAGCAGGCAAATGACTGAGTTATTTTGACCTTCCCATTCTTTACACTTTGCATTGAATTGTTAGAACTTCTGATCTCTTTTCCTAATCTCCTTCAGTCAATACAGTGCAACATACTTGACTGTACTCACTTTTTGATTTGCTGTTGTCTGTTTTATTCTTGAAGTATTTGAGAAGTAACCTTACTTTCTAGGAAGATTATTATATGCGGGGTTAGAAAGGCAATTTTATCCTTCAGTTTTGCTGTATCAGATGATCAAAATAAAAATTATTATTTTGAAAATTATCCAAAATGCCTCATCAATCAAACTAGTTTCTTATTTATATACCTTCACCATCTTATTTGCCTCAGTTCTGCTACCATTATTAACGAAATTTAGTTGGAAAAACTTGCATCAGACTAAACTAATATTATTGTTGCCAAGATTTCATTATTGTTACTAGGCATGAACAGAGACCTGTTGTTAGTAGATCAGCAATTGTGAATGGAAGCTTGTACTAATTAGGTCACTAATTATAAATGGAAACCATATGTTATGGGCTCATGAATTGTTGGCACAACCCTCTTATTTTTAGGTAGATATCACTTAGGAACAGATACATATTGTTCAAAGGGCATTAATTTCAAAGAGGATCTTGCATAAATGATTCCCTTTATAAATGCGCATGATTACTGTTTTTTATATTGGTTGCAGTGAGACGCTGTTCATGCAGATGGCGGACATCATAGTGTCAGAAGGCTACCTACAGGCAGGCTACAGCATGGTGTCCCTGGATGACTGCTGGCTGGCTCGTGACAGAGATGCTCAAGGCAGACTACAGCCTGACTTTACACGCTTCCCTTCCGGTATTCCTGCTTTGGCTGATTATGTGAGTCTTCTATGGGATGTTGAAAAAGCTCACTCTTGATCTGGATTGACACTAATTATAATCCTTGGATCCAATCACTTATGGATTTAAAAAATCTTTAAATTTACTTTACAATTAGACCATTATAGGAGTTGGGAGAGTTTTGATTCGAAATATGTCTAACGTCAATTAAGCATTTCTTTTTTATATAGGCATTTTGCTGGCTTGACATTCGAAGTGATACATCAGAAAATTTGACTAGGGTATAGAATGAATGTTTGCTGTTTCAGATGCACAGTCGCGGTCTGACATTTGGTATCTACGAAGACTACGGCAACTACACGTGCGCGGGCTACCCTGGCATATTGGGACACCTGCAGGTTGATGCTCAGACCTTTGCTGACTGGCAAGTTGACTACGTCAAATTGGANTGTCATCATATTACTGGTTGAGATGAAATAGCAGAAGACGGATAGAACCTGCGCCTTGGAAATAAAGAAGCATACACCCTAGACCAGATGGATCAGGCTACGAGCCTGAAACCAACGAAGAAGCCTGACCCTGCAAAACGAATATTGGACCTTCGGCGCGAAATAGACGACACTCATCTGAAGCGCTAGAAACCTCTCCCTACTACTACTACTACTTATGTTTAACCTTAAGCTGTCGATCCACGCTGGTTTATGTGAAAAATTTAATGGTATGGTGAGGATTGAAGCATCTCGTAAATCCTTTGGACAACTTCTCTCACAATGTGCTTCAAAGATTTGCGCGCTGCAGTTGCAAGCCTGTCATGCCATCAACTTATTGGCTCCATTTACCATACATAGGTATTTTAATATGCGCATTACATTGCGATGCCCATTCCGAATGTTAAGGCATGGCCTGATAAAGATGAATTACGTGACCTCAAATATTTACCCAACATCTTACTTTCTTCCAGGTTTCTGTGACGCTAGCAGAGCTTGGTCTGACTTACCCCAATGGCTATACCATCACCGACCTTTTTGACGGCGTAAATTACGGAGTTGTGGAGCCGTCGAAGCGCTTCAAGGTGGACGTGAACCCCTCAGGCGTTGTCCTGGTAAGGTGTGACCTCGCAGCATCATTCAGGGCGCATCGCAACAACATCTTCCGTCACTCCAACAACAACTTCCACAACCTGGCCGTGCCTGCAGTCACCCATAGGGTCAACCCACTGACCAATAACGTGATCTTTCCTGCACAGCGCGGTTTCCCTGGCAAGCGGTGAAACCTTCATTCCACTCTTTTACGCGCTTAGCTATTTTAAGGTTTTCTGCATCATTTAGTTCGAATTCTGTATGCTATTTGCTGACTGACACTTGGCCACTACCTTTTAGAAATTGTTCTAATTATATAATTTTTGCAGCTATATCTTTCTGTTGACCTGCATGGGTTTTCAATCCAATTCTGTATTTTAAGAGTTGAGCATCCATTTAGAATTTCGTGTTGAAAACATTTTATGGTGCTGTTTATTGTTATGTTGGAGATGTTATTCGCAATAACTTGTAGCTATGAGAGGCTAATTCAATAACACGATTGAGAACACTGACGTCTAGGTTTTCATTTATTAAACTTTATTTTAGGTTAGCCGTGTATATCACTTTTAAATCTTGTCTAAAGCCCGTGGGTGATCAACAATATCAGGGTTGCTTATCTAAGAGGAGATTAGACTGATCTCTGTTTGTGTAATGCATAAAAACTGCCGAGAGTCGGTCAGAAACGGATTCGATATTTTCAGCATGTTAGTACTCTTGCTGATATGAAGACGTTTGCTACCGAAGACCCCGAAGGCCCCTACTTCTGCACTGATCCCAGAAGTTGGGTCTGTTACTGTAGTAACATCGATATTTTAATTTTAACCTAATTTCATTTCGCCGATGAATTTTATGAATTATAAATCGCTATTTTAATTTTAATTAAATTTACTCAGCTGGGCCAGAGATAATTTCTATGTCTTATTGAGTAATTATTAAAATAATTTTTTTTCTTATATTTCATATGTTTTAAATATTATATTCCATTTAAATGTTGCTCGAAAATTCTTCCTACTTCTGATCCAGATGGATGTGAGGGTGACCTCTTTATTTCATCGCCACATACTACCCTCTCATGCACACATTTCAACCCTCCTAATTCATCGAGTTGCATCATTAATTATCAGTTCATATTCTGTTCTATTCATATGAATATGGCAGCTTTTATTACGACCGTAAATCTTACCTGAAAGATATTGAAGCCGTGCACTGCATCTTGTTTTCGTGGGCATTGTTGCCAGACTCATTGACGGTATTCACACGCTGAAAACTCCACGTTTAGCCACATTATCTTCTGAAGCAAAATCATTAAATATGTATGTGCTTTAGTCGATGCTCCCTGCAAATTGTGTATTTAACCGTTTTATTTTGTACAATTTATATATTAAATTATTTAATATTAATTTGCTTTTGATTTTGGTACCCTCTAAAAGTAAGATTATCATTTTTACAGATCTACGTTATTGCCATTGAAATGACCTCAGTTATGTTTTGAATTACGCACTTCACTTTTCTTAGTAAATAATGAGACTAAGAACGATACATATAAATCGTGAATGGCAAACATGTTGTCGACGACTCTTGCTCATTGTACGTTTGTTAAACTTGCTGATGCCTAGCCTCGCTCACAACCAGTATCGAGAATTATTCTGACAATTTTAGACTCATGATATCCAAATGTCAGTTTACATAACTGGCTACGATCGTCCGTTATCATTACCGGCAATGATTAAATTGGCCATGATCATAACTGGCAGTAAACTAATCCCACAAACTTGGTGGAGTAGTCAATACAGCTGCACAGTACGCCGCGCTAGTTATAGCGACTTGGCTGATAAATGATTCAGGCTGAGCTAAAGTAGATTTTCATTTGAAATTTCTTGAGGCTATGCGTGTTTTACATTAACGTACTGAGATGTCTAGTTATATCTTATTGGTGAACTGCAACAGTTATGAACGAAATTTCTCATCGTTTCATTACTTCATGTTGCAAATTGGGCATCTAATAATGGGTTCTCCAACCGCACGCATCTCAGAGCGTGGCGCTTGAGGAAGGAATGATCCCGACCTTTTATTTCTCTCGTCCTACATTCCAGACGTTTTAATTCGACGGTGTAGTGTTTGGTAATTTCATAAAATTTTATCGGTTTGAGTGAGTTGCACACGAACGATTTGCACTACAAAATTTTAGACTCAATACCGTCCGAAATTATAACCAAAAAATGTCGACGCGGTCTAATCAGAAGCGAGGAATATTGGCAATTATCTCTTTATCCCCTCTTGTTTGAAAAAAACGATTCATATGAAACTATAATAGGGATTTTTGATTTGTAATTTCATATTACAAATATTTTGCATTGTGCTCAAAAATGATATGAAATTTAATGGGAATAAGTTACTAGAGAAAATAATTGGTCGGTGTAAATTTTAGCTCTGGCAGGCTCTGTTGACTGTGGACTGCCGTCGGTACTCGGATCTCGATAGTCTGTCAGTCCGGCTCAGTTGTTTGAGGTGCTTTGGTCGGGGCAGGAATTTTGTTAAAATAAAGAAGTACAATATTTCAGTATGCCAGTCGTTCTAAAGCCTGCCGTTCGTGTATCTCCAGTTATAAAGGTAATTCGATTGAGTAGTTATTTAGTCTATTATTTTGCTTAGTTACGTTTTCGATGTCCCAGTAATGCTGTCTAAATTAAATTTATTGCCGTAGGCTAAGAGCCTAAGCCTTATGCAGTTAGTCAGTAACTTAGTGGCTTAATGTAACTCAAACTGGCTTCAATTCTAGCAAACTGGCACTTGAAGTTGAATAACAGTGGATTGATGAAAAATATTTTTATATCACTCAACTAGAAAGTTTGATTCAATTGGAACAGACTTAATCAGGTAGAAATAAACGTAGGTAGAATTAACGTGTAAATGCTTTACAACCAACAAAGTTCCTTGATCTTAAAAATTCAATCAATATCATACACTAGGCCTATTATGCAAATTAGTTTAGACAGTGGTTGAAATAACACAATTAGCTATATGCCACAAGCAGCCACATTGAAGTTTTATTTGAAAAACATGCCAGTGGTAGGGTACTGTGATATAATTAATAGGAGATATGACCTCCTTTTCTTCTACAAGCATTTCAACACAATTTGGCTGTTTTGGCATGGATTTGACCAAAGTTGAACACATTTTATTCAGTTGCTCATCAATAAATCATCATGATACCAGGTCCTAATTACAGCACAAATTAGCTTTGCCATTGTCAAACAGTCTTGTTTCAGAACTTCAGAAGTCTTTTTTGATTATAGCCAATAAGTTTTCAATGGGATTGATTTCTGGAGAATTTCCAGGCCAGTATAAAATCTCCAATCCACTTTCTTCAAAGAATGTGTGCTTAACTGGAAAAATGAATTAATTTTGGCCAGGGTGCAGAAGTTGGAAGCAGCGTCGCCACTATATGGGTTTTTAAGCCCAAAGCGTCACCAACCATTTTCAAGATGAGTCGCCTGGTAATTTTTAATGAAAAGCAATTTACGCTGAGTAATGAAAAACTATTTACAAGCCACAAACTTATTTACTACAAGGTTGCAGCATAGTGGCAAAGCAGAGAGTTTTTTATACTCTACTGTAAAGTTTGGTGGTGACAACATCATGATCTGGGGCTGTTTCTCCGCAAAAGGTGTTGGTAACATATCACTTATAGATGGTAGGATGAATGCTGCAAACTACCAGAGCATCCTGGAAAATAATTTGACGACTTCTGTTGAGAAACTAGAGCTACCTGGTGATTGGATTTTCCAGCAGGATAACGATCCTAAGCATACTGCAAGATCCACAAAGAAATGGTTCGCTGATAGAAATGTACACGTTATGGAATGGCCAAGCCAGTCGCCGGACTTAAATCCGATTGAAAATTTGTGGCGGTATTTGAAGATTCAAATTAAGAAAAGGTCCCCAACAAACATTGAGAATCTTAAGGTGGTGTGCCATAAAGAATGGTATAAAATACCAGTCAGCATCTGCAAATCATTGGTCGAGACGTATAGAAATAGACTGGTATCTGTTGAGCAGAAATGCTGAATAAAGGGTATTCAACCAAGTATTAAATTAAAATAATGCGGATTTATTGTTTTGTATGAATACTTTTTTCACCGAAGAAGTGAACATGTTGCATTGTTTTTTGTTGCATTTAGATTTAATTTCTTTTGATAGTATTTTTGAAAACTATGCGTCTCTATACATAATTTAAATCACTTTTCCTGTTAAGTTTGTGTACTTACATACATTAAAATACGATTTTTCAAGTGTACGAATATTTATTTCCCCCCACTGTACATATAAAAAAATCTTTTATTTGTATAGGTATATGTGGATTATTTTTTAGATTGGTAGATTAAAGTAGACATCCATGTAAGGAAGGTGAAACATAAAATAACTGTTAAAAATAACTGTAAGCAAACTGAAACATGGAGAAATACCTGTAATTGGTAACTGGTAATAACTTAACAAGTAACAACTAACATGTTGACACTAGTAACAGGATGAGGTTGTCAACATTACACAGAAATCTTTTGTAGTTTTATTCTGTAATTTATATTATGTATATATCATGCTGGTTTTTAAATAATATTTAATACTATTAAGTAAAATCTAAAAGCTTTATCTATAAATGTAGCAGTAGTGCTGTAGTGGCAAAACATCGTATCGCTACTTAAATATGTAGCGGGTGCTACCGCTACCACTACATTGCCTTAAATGTAGTGCCGCTACAGCTACTGAAAATGTAGCGTGTTACTGAAAATGTAGTGCGCTACTGCCCACCTCTGTAAGTAGATCACCGTATGCGTAACTCGAGTTCTGATTGGTTTACGTCACTCTCAAAACACCACACTGTGCGCCAGCAATGATGAAACGTCACAAACTGTTGCCATATTTATTTAGAAGCCTTTTGAATTCAAATCTACAAAATTGCTGAATTCCGACACTGACGAAATGCGGCATATTGTGAGACGAATTTAGACAGCGCTTCAAAATTGTAATTTGTAATTCTGACACCTTGTGTGTCGTAATTTTGACACCCTGTGTCGGAATTAGTTTTATGTGTCAAAAACCGTCTCTTAAATCAATCATCTATTAATTTATTTACCACTTAAAATCAGCAAATACAAGTATACTTAAAGGATTTCTAATACATTCACAGACTTATTTAAAAGTCTCAAACCATAATATTCTTTCTGCACAAACATTTTATCACTGTTTAGTAAAGCAAGGTCAACTATCAACTTTCATACACGTTTCGATGTTCTCACTAGCTGACTTGGACTTTCGCTCTGCGGATCTTAACATTTTCCCGCTAGGCCTAGTGTTTTGCAGAAATCTTGCGCGCAATAGTATGACGTGACCATTTCAACCATCTATGCATGCATGGAACTAAGACCAAGCTTTATATAAAGGGAAAAGTTTAATGGTGTTGGATTTACCCCCAGTGTCGGAATATGGTGCGTTTACCTATATTATTTAATATTTATGCCACTAGGCTGAGTGCCATCCAGGCATGGAATATAGCTAGCTACTTTTTGAGCTGTAGAAAGTAAGAAAAGTTCTAATCCTACTGCCAGTCACTATGCTGAGTTTAGTAATTGTGTTGCCAAGATTTGGTTTTTAGGCCTAATGTGTTACCATTATTATTGAGGTTTTGTTACCAATTTGCCAAAAGCCTGAAGTTGAGAACTAACTCAATAAAGATTTTTGTCTTAGTATACTTAAGTGTAAGAAGGTATTGTGCTGTCAAAATTTTTTGAAGACACAGATTTAGATTTTTATGTCACCAAAGAAAGTCAGATATTTGCTTGCTCTCTGCACCGGCAGCCAAGTAGTACGTATTAATCTGGAAGCGCCTCTTAGCTTTGGTAGTTCATATTAGACTTAAGGGAGCATGTAGGCAAAAATTTTGGATTTCGGCTTTTCCGGTTTTTAATCTACTCTTAAAGCTGATTTTCTGTTCTATTCAACGGTACCATTACCATCTCTGTACGTCCATTTTTAGATTCACGACACTTCATGAAAGGGGGGCGGGTGGGGGAGTTCTTTAAGTAATTAGATAGGCACTAATTAGCTGCTGAGCTCTTTGAATATAGTGTCTATTTGAGTTGTGCTGCAGTTACGTGTTTAGTCTCATCTTAAAGCTGACATTCTGAGCTATCCAATGGTATCATTACCGTCTCTGTACGTGAATTTTGACGTACACCACACTTCATGAAAGGGGGACAGGGGGGGGGGAGTTCTTTCAGTAATTACATTGAGGGAAATTCGCTGCCTCGCACTACAAATACAGTGTTTTTAGAAAGTGTAAGCCAGTGTGCCTCCGGGCGTCGTACGGGGACGTGCGCATGTAGTCGCTCCCACCATCCTTGATTGGAATCAAGCTCCAGAAACGTTTACATTGGCATCTATGCTACATTGACCGCCTATTGCGGTGCACTGGGACTTTGTCGCGTCCTCCTGAACATTCACACTTAATGTCACAACAAACTTTATAACTCCTAGAGTTTTGAAGCTAAAGCAATGAGACATATACCATTCGATCCGCAATTAAAATATCTAGCGATTCTCAAACCATTTTTTTTCGATTTCATTTTAGTTTTGAAAATATTTTGAAAAAAGAGGGAAAAATAAAAAAATTTGTTGAAAAATCGCAAAATTTCAGAAAAATCATAACAAGAGAACCAAGGAAAAAATTGAAAAAGTGTTTCGAGAATCGCTAGACATGGTCTTTACGCATCGAATGATACGTGTCTCGATGTTGTAGCATATAATTTGCAACGGTCATAAATTTTTTTGGAGTACCCCCTTTTTTGCCGTTTTCTATGAATTTCACGTTTTCCTTCACTTTTTTCAAAAAAATCACACGAACAAAATAGTAATCATTTTTGATTTTACATATGTGTACCAAGTTTGGAGATGATTCTACCATATATATAGAAAATAGATTTTTGCCTACATGCTCCCCTTAATATTTCATAATTGAATATTGGATACCTATTTACCACTTGGAAAATATAAACTCCGTAAATGTGTTGAGCATTCAAAATTGAGGATTGATGGCAAAATTACATTAAGAATTGCACTTTTGAATTCTCGATGGCTGTGTGGAAGTTTCAGAAATTGTTTGATTGAAAAATCTTTTGAAGAAGGTTCATTTAGCAGACCTGTGTCCACACTACTGCATAAATTAAAATCATAGTCAGGATAGCCAATTTGAAAATAAAATGTTTTTAATGCAATCGTACTTCGGATTGTGATCACTCTGCATTGCCTAAAATTCAATAATGAATTCTACAGGAGAGCAATTATTAATGACATTTTAGCATTTGTTGCAGAACTGCAAATTGGCTTGGATGCCAATCTGCAGTCAAGGTGAAGGCATGCCTGCTGACAGATTATTGCTGTAGAAGTATTCAATAAGCAAACTTACTCTTTATCTATATCAATGAACATTAAAAAGGCCATGCTAAAATGAAGCTTTGCACGTTATGCTATTCTGATTCCTGTCCGTAAACTTCCCTTTTGTTATTATATTATTACCTAAAGACTGACAGGTTCCACACTGTTCTACTGCAATGGAAAATAAAACGTGTTTAATCGTGCGTCATCCGCGCCCCATTCACTAGATCAATGGTGATCTAGTGAAATGGACTGCTTCATTGAATTCATTTCATCCACGCTGAAGCTGATTATAGCATTCAATAACTTGGATTCTATTCCAAGAGGAAATATAAGTTATTCCATGTATTTATCTTACAAGGTTGGTAGGTAGGGATTATGTATAGGTATGTATATAAAACACACTGAAGCGTTAGTTATGCTGAAATGTTTATTTAGTTGAAGTAAGCGCCTCAACTGCTATGACTCAGATAGTAAATTTTACAGAAAATATTCCTATCCCTTAATGATTCCAATCTTTTAACAACTAATACCCACGTGGAGTTTTTTTTTTTTTTTTGCCGTATGTGAATATTCAAATTCATGTAAACTTCATATATAATTTCATTATTAATGCTGAAACGTCATTGAAGGTATGCATCTCTATTTATGATTATGCATCTTGATGACGTAAATTTCTGGAATAAATTCCACCTGCTCAATTTGCCACCGGGGAATTTCTGATTGTTCTCTCTTATATTTTGTTCAGACTGCGAGGTGGTCTGCTCTCCTGCTGGGTGTTCTGTACGGCTCCGTGCATTTCAAGTCTCTGCAGAAGAAGGAGAATGCCTTCAGAGAGGAGGAGGCGAGACTGGCCCCTGCAAGGCAAAAGCTGGCGGCTGAACTGAAGAGTAAAGCCAATAGGGGTGAGTGGAGTCGAGTGCGAACGTTAATTTGCCTTTGCTAATTGCTATTATCAGGGCCGTTGAGATTCCATACCTGGTACAATTTGTTCTTTAATCATACATTTGTAACAATAACTGCAAAAATATTTATTCTTGTAAATTTAGTGTGGCAGGATTGTAATTAGAGTGAAATATTATCCTGATTTTTCAGCGATCAATATTTCTGTCATGTTCAAAAACGAATTCTATATTTTCTTGCAGAGGAGATGCTATACTTGGCCAAGGAAAGTGGAGTTCCAGTGCCACCAGGCTTTTAAATCTGCGGCTTTCGTCGAGAGTTGCGTCTGTATAAAAGAACGTCTTTAATAAAATGAGATATTAATTATATATTTTATTTAGCAACATGTTAGTAACGAGCTGCAGGCGAATTAGTAAGCGTTGAACAGTTAATCTGCAAAGACTGAAGTTGATTTCAGTCTTTATTTACGTTTTTCCGCCATGCATAGAAACAACTTTCCTATTGAACTTATAGTAAGGACTTGCACACTACGTACTATTAGTATTTTGAAACTTAATTAATCGTAACTAATTTATGACTAGTTTGTTATGATGGTACGATTCTTCAATACATTTATCAGTGTTGATTTCACACACGAGCCTGAATCTAAATTGACATAGTCATGAAGAAATATGCGTGTACCACATTTCGACTTTAACATAATTACGACGTGGGTTTAGTGATAGACGAACCGTATTTAAACTTGTGAAAGGAAATTTTTATCCACCCTACTGTAGTAGGAAAAGCCCCCGTTGAATTTCACAAGCATTCTTTACTTTGTTGCCAAAATAACCGATATTAGCTAAAATTGCACACACGAAGCGGTTATTCCAAGCTGGCGCCGTCTTTCTTCCGACACTGGGCAGGCTGCTAGAGTCGCGTTGGTTTCAATCTTCATCGAGGCAGCGATTGACGTGTTCCTCCAGTGGCCTGAGCTCAGCGAAGGACTTATTGCACTTGGGGCAATAAAATAGCGATTCATCCAACACCTCCTCGTTCGCCTTGCTCCTCTCGCCGTCCTGCTCACAAAAATTTTTAATGGCTTGGGGGTTTTTAACCGAATTGATGAAAGAGGTTCCTAACAGACGAAAAAGTGATGAGTTGAATGAAATGTATAATCTTAGTTAAATTCGTCAATGTTTGTGTCTGAAGCTTGGCTTGAGTCGCACATACAGTGGGGGGAAATAAATATTCGTACACTTGAAAAATCGTATTTTAATGTATGTAAGTACACAAACTTAACAGGAAAAGTGATTTAAATTATGTATAGAGACGCATAGTATTCAAAAATACTATCAAAAGAAATTAAATCTCAATGCAACAAAAAACAATGCAACATGTTCACTTTTCGGGGTGAAAAAAGTATTCGTACAAAACAATAAATCCGCATTATTTTAATTTAATACTTGGTTGAATACCCTTTATTCAGCTCAACAGACACCAGTCTATTTCTATACGTCTCGACCAATGATTTGCAGATGCTGACTGGTATTTTATACCATTCTTCTTGGCACACCACCTTTAGATTCTCAATGTTTGTTGGGGGCCTTTTCTTAATTAGAATCTTCAAATACCGCCACAAATTTTCAATCGGATTTTAGTCCGGCGACTGGCTTGGCCATTCCATAACGTGTACATTTCTATCAGCGAACCATTTCTTTGTGGATCTTGCAGTGTGCTTAGGATCGTTATCCTGCTAGAAAATCCAATCACCAGGTAGCTCTAGTTTCTCAACAGAAGTCGTAAAATTATTTTCCAGGATGCTCTGGTAGTTTGCAGCATTCATCCTACCATCTATAAGTGACATGTTACCAACACCTTTTGCGGAGAAACAGCCCCAGATCATGATGTTGCCACCACCAAACTTTACACACCAAACTCACCAAACTCACTCACTCACACCAAACTCACCGTCTTTCCTCCACACATTGCGACGATAATTTCGACCGAAAAGCTCAATTTTTGTTTCGTCCGTCCAAAGAACCTTTTCCCAAAAAGCTGTTGCATTGAGATTTAATTTCTTTTGATAGTATTTTTGAATACTATGCGTCTCTATACATAATTTAAATCACTTTTCCTGTTCAGTTTGTGTACTAACATACATTAAAATACGATTTTTCAAGTGTACGAATATTTATTTCCCCCCACTGTATATATGGGCTGTTCGAGCGCGTATCCACGATACTTATCGTGTCGGGGATATTTCCTGGACCTGAAAATTCATTTATGTGGGAGAATGAAAAGGCAGTACAAAACTGGGAGGCAAGGATTGGATGGGAAAGTCGAAAATTTAAGAATGATTCTGGAAATTCTGAAAATTTTACCTTTGATGGAGTAAAATATGTTTTCGTACGAGTCAGATACTTGGTATATGTTCCATGTCAAATGTTGGCTTGAACAGATAGTTTAATTAGCACACTTAAGCTTTACTATATTTATATTATATTTTAAGAACAAAAGAATTGGCACGATTCCAAAATTGCAGGAATTATAGAGCCCGGCACCGCCGTGCTAACCTGCTAGTTAGCCGTGATTCGAAATTAATCTGATAGAATATATCGTTGAGAGTTAAGCGCAAAATACTTCGACTTACACACACGTTGTGCAGCGTGCTACTCAAATTTCGATGATGCCTTCAGAGGTAATGTTCTCAGTTTCCGTGAAGAGTTTTTGTCCATTTCGTGAAATAATCGCCACGCCGTTATTTTTCGAAACGAAGGTTGGTTCACGTGATTGTACCCGAGTTAGTACAACAGAGTTACGTTACATTTATAAGGGTCTCAAAGCGAAGTAGGTAGCAAAACCCTCATATCTAGATTGTGCTTAGACACTTCATTCCAACGTGCAACTCGTAATGTACTTCGAACTACAATAAATACTGGCGTCTAAAAAATATTAATGTATGGTTATTTGTTATTCTGCGTCCAACGAAATGGCGGTGACCATACAATGGCGCGATCAACCAAGAGAGCCGTTCTCACTGAGAAATAAACGAACAAAATGCTAATTAGTGTCAGTATTCATGTAAATGAATTCTATGATAAACAAGAAGGTTATGACGTCACCCGCACCCTAGTCTCCAGGTTGTGCGAGAGCTGGTCCAGGGACAGCGCTCCTGTAGCGTCGCCCCCGCGGCTGGTGATGCTCAGCGACGGTGGCGGCGTCAGGGACTCTTGGGGCTCCTGAGACCCAGCCCGAGAACCGCTCTTTCTGTAGACCAAAAACAATCACGATGACAAACTGATGTTAATTGTAAAGTCACTACTACTACCACTACTTAAAGTCACTACTTAAGTGGTTAACCAGACCTCGTCTTTCTGAAAGCTACGTAACGTTGTACTATCAGGCCTTCGCCCATTACCGGCTATCCATATATCCAGAGAGGTCTCGCTCACTTATGAAAAATATTGCTTCAAACTGTCAAGAAATCTTTATTTTTGCTTTGGCTGCCAAGTCAAAGACAGAATATTTTCGGAAGAAAATGACACTCTTCTTCTGCAAAGTGTTTGCTCCCATAGTACCTTCTCCAAAAAGTATAGATTAAGCCAATAACGGCATGGCTATTTCGCTCCAGACGTAAAATTGACGATAAGTCTCTTCTTGCAATACACTATTTTTTTCATTCACATGTTCCAAGCCTGGACAAGCCCCTAGCCCCTTACAGCTCCATGAGGAAATTGTCCATCCATGTTACAGCCAATATGTACTACTGCCAATATGTTACCTAGCCGAGTAAGTGACGTGCTGGGCGGCCTATGGCTCGTCCAGCAGCTGCGTGTTCCCCTTACAGCTGCATGAGGATATTGCTCAACCATGTTACAGCCAATATGTATGCCCCTAGCCGATATGTTACCTAGCCAATATGTATGCACCTAGCCGATATGTACTACCGTACTGCCGATATGTTACCTAGCCAATATGTATGCACCTAGCCGATATGTACTACTGCCGATATGTTACCTAGCCGAGTAAGTGACGTGCTGGGCGGCCTGTAGCTCGTCCAGCAGCTGCGTGTTGCGGTGCTGCAGCTGCCTGATGTCGTCGCGCAGCTGCTCGCGCTCGCTCGCCAACGCTTCACGCGCCTCCCGCTCAGCACGGAAGTCGCCCTGGTACACCTCCACCTGTTCCAACATTAAAATAAAATACTTAAAAAAAACTTTTTAAAAAACCACGTTTTTCTTGTGGACTAAAAAGTAGAAAATAAATTATGGCTCGCCCCCAAAAAACGTGTGTCGGGCAGATTTATGATTAAAGCGAAAAGCACACAATACAGGAATTTTGAAAATTTGATAGTGAACGTACAGCCCGACCCACGTTTTTTGGGGCGAGCCATAATTTATTTTCTACTTTTTAGTCCACAAGAAAAACGTGGTTCTTTAGAAAGTTTTTTTAAGTATTTTATTTTCTACTTTTTAGTCCACAAGAAAAACGATTAAGACTTGATTAAGTATGACTTGACGTACGTATCGATGATACACAGCGTCAGCACCTGCTCGTCTATAACGTCAGCGCCCGCACGCCACACTATATATATACTATAGGTATATATATACTTTAGTCAATTAAGCTAATTTAGGTCTCTAATTGCTAGTTTTTATGATTGTATCTGAAATTGTTAGGCGAAAATAGCCTGCATGCCGAATTTCAGATCTCTAGAGCAATCAGAAGTGGGCTAATTTTCGTTATCAATGTTAACAACAAACAAACAAACAAACGCGAAGCTGAGTAAAGAAAAACGTGTTAATGAACCTATAAAAGTAATAATGTCACTCGTTCGCTTGAATCGCAAATTCACTAAAAACTTAAAAGCAAAGAAAACTCTACAAAAATTTATAGTATATTTAAAGTAAACGTTTTCTTTAAAGATACTATGAATTTATGTGGAGTTTTCTTTGCTTTTAAGTTTTTAGTGAAATGAACCTGCCCTGCTTCACGTTCCAGGTAACGTAGACAATACTTTATCATTGAACTGTCACTATTATCAATTTATATTCTAAGCTCACTAGGTACTGGCGAACAAACACTCAAATAGCGATTCGTTTCATGTCAAAACCGTGAACGGTTCGAATATAAAATCAAACTTCTGGTGCAAGAGATGAAAATTAAATGTGTTCGTGTTATTAAGATATTTATATATCAGAAAAGAAAAGCTGACTATCGAACCCATTTCAAAAACAATGGAGGCAAGAAACGATCATGAGAAACAGCCGACAGAGATGAAGTATATAGCACGAAATATGCTTGGGGAAGCTTGCACGCATCCTCGCTCGACTAAATTACGTCACAATCAACTTAGGTTCAGTCTGCAATCTACTAACATTAACACATCAACACTTGGCTTGTATTAAACACGAAAGCCGTGCTTAGTTGAGCTGACAACATCAACACGCCGCGCTTACCTGAGCTCGTAACATCAGCACGCCGCGCTTACCTGAGCTGGCAACATCAACACGCAGCGCTTACCTGAGCTGGCAACATCAACACGCCGCGCTTACCTGAGCTCGTAACATCAACACGCCGCGCTTACCTGAGCTTGCTTACCTGAGCTGGCAACATCAACACGCCGCGCTTACCTGAGCTGGCAGCATCAACACCCCGCGCTTACCTGAGCTCGCAGAATGGAGATAGTTTCTCCCTCGCTCTGGAACTCCGCCAGCTTCGCCTTGGCTTGCCCGCAGTCTTTCTTCAGCTTGGCCAGCTCATCGTTCTTGGCCGAAAGAAGTTCCTCGTAGGACAAAAGCTTGGCAGTGACCGCGTCGTGCTGCTCGTTGATGCTTTTTATCTGAAAATTACGCGAGTTAAGTCAACTGAACAAGATGTCCTCTTTTGCAATCATTCAAAATGTTAATAGACAAGTCTTCGAATTTATTGTGAATCATTTGTGTCTAAGAAGCAATGAAATATAATATTTTCTTTGGATATCGTCCAAAATCTAATCCACAACTCATCTAATACAATTTTATTGTTCACTACACGCGTTTGCTAAATAAACCTTGAACTAGCACCACAGACAGGCGCATGACTAAGTAGAACTTATAACGATTATAATTGTATTTAATAACGTGAATAGCAGAAATAAAAGTAATAACATGTAGGATGCTTGCCGCACCTTGGCCTGGTAGTACTGGTCAGTGTTGGAGTTGCGGTGGATTACGTCCCTCGCTTCCTGTAGCTCCGTGCGCAGCGCAGTCACCTCGGCCGCTGCCTTGCTCCTCTCCTGCCGCTCCTCGGCCAACTTGATGCGCTCTGCAGCCAGCGTCTTCTCCAGCACCTCAACCTTTACAATTCGTTAAAAATAACATCCTATTAGTTCAAAAATGGTACAACAAAACTCAAAATGACATTCATTTTGATGATGAAGGTTTGAATAAAACTATTATGGTCTGATAATATATTAAATGCATAGCATTCGTTGTCTTGTGACAAGAAGCATGTTTGATGCTCGTTTGATGTAGTACCAGTAGTAGTGGAAGGTTTGCTAGCGCTTCAGATAGCTATCTAACTCGCGCCGGAAGTACCATCTTCAGTTACGTCAGTAGTATTTGATTTCTTCCGTCTTAAAGGCTTGCAGCCTTATCCCTTTAGGTGCAGGGGTTGGGCGGTAGATTCTCTGTTCATGGAGCGAGAGTCTGCTTCGGCTTCATATAAAAACTCCATTGTCGAGCAAGTGGGGCTTGATCAGGGAGATGGGCTAGGAGCAATTAGTTTCCCGGCAAATGGCCGCAAGGCGGTGCTATCATGGGATCATGCTAGATCTCTGGAAGTAGGTTGCATTCTATCAAATATCGTCCAAGGTTGTCGGTTCCGAAGTTGCTGCGCTGGTCCGCCCTTAACATTCTGAGGAACGACTTGGCGGTGAAGGGCTGATGTGTTGGAGTAACAGTTCGTCGGATGTCGCTGTGGCTAGGACACTGCTAAGACGCAGTATTGTCTGGAGTAGCAGGCAGACATCGCAGTCATAATATGGTATAGGGCGGCGCTCAATCAATTAGCTGTGGGTGAGGCGCATATGACCGATCCTCAGTTAAGAGTGCGCTACCTTCATCCGTCAAGATCTCTGGTCCAACGAGCTCCATGCTGATATGCTGTCTGCGATTGTTTTCAGTTTATTGTTTCTCTATGCTGTCCTTGATTGTTCTCAGTTTATTGTTTCTCTATGCTGTCCTTGATTGTTCTCAGTTTATTGTTCCTCTATGCTGTCCTTGATTGTTCTCAGTTTATTGTTTCTCATGTTCAGCCACAGCTCGCGCCACATATGGAGAACACCCTGATGTGGGGATAGTGGTCGTGGCATGGGACGTCCTTAAAATAAATAGTCATGTCTGACGAAGCAGCGCACACCGCCGCCTCATCCGCGCTGTCGCTGCTCCGCACCCCCATATGTCCAGCCATGTTTACCCCGATGATGGGATACTTGCCTTTGTATATTCTCAGGGCTTGCACTACACTTTCGGAGTCAACAAATATCTTGAATTCTTGTCCGGGATTTTAATATATAAGGACCAGGGCACAAAGGATACCAGATAGATCCTCGGTGTAAATTGATGCGTTGAGACTCGTCTCGATGTTGTTGTGACGGTCGCAGCCGCACACCCCATCGCGCCATCCGATTTTGTGCCGTCAGTGTATTTATGGCGTCGAGTTTGCATGCTTTGTAGTTGCGTGGTTCAAGAAAAGGCTTTTCAGGTGGTTGCCTGTAATGCGCACTTTAGCGGGAAGGTGCTGATGGGGATTCATAACTTCGGAGTTTCCTCAAAAGTAACAAGCAAGCATCGTTTGGACCTGTGCTGCTGTAAAGAGTGTTCCGCAGTCTTCAGATTATGTAATGTAAGTAAATGGGTTTGCTTGGTTTTCGGTCATAACAGTGAGCCATATTGGAGATAATGGTAGTTGTTCGAGGCGGACATTCATCTAGAGAGTGAGCTGCGCACGGCGGAGATCCAGTGGAGGTTTTCCGCTCTCTGCCTAGAGGCTGATGGTGGGGGATACTCTGTATGCTCCTGTACTGGGTCTAGTAAAGATAGTGTAATTTTTCTTGCATATTGGTATAAGATGCATCTCTAGACCATCTTGGCTCTAAGTATGGCTCTCGTTTCATTTATGTTATCAGCAACCATACAAGTCAAACTCAAAAGTAAAGAATATCTCATTAGAAAAAGTTACGGTACGACGCAAAATTGAAACAATTCGTTCATATATTATACTCAAAACACAAGACACTTCCAGTCATAACTCACGTCTTCTTTCAGCAGAGAAGCTTCTTCCTGCAGCTTCACCTGATCCAGAGGGATCCCCATATCCTGAAATTTAATATTTTTATATTTTGGAGTCCATTGATATTATTGCTGTCTACTCTCATTATTCGCAGTAAACTCAACACTTCAAATGTAGTAAAAAATCTAAGAATCAGACAACAATAACACTAATCTTAGTGCACAATGAAAAATCACAAACGTAAAAAAATCATTTTATCATTCAATGTTTTCAACCTTACTTGGATCCGATAAACCATAAACAGTAGAAGTACTAGCAAGTTCAACCTTTTAATAAAAAAACACATAAAAGAAAACGCAGATAGGAGAAACATGCAAGAGATACAAATTTGTTTTGAAATTTTCATAAAATAAGAAGTATCATTAGAAGGAAGAGTAGCAATATCTCTTCCCATTGAATTAACATTCGTGCAGCCTGAATCAGTTGTACACACCATTTTGGAAGCACCGGCGGCGCTCTCGAGCAAAGCTATTTTGTGGCGCGCTCGCTGCAGGTCGCACTGTAGAGCCTCAACCTGCACCCGTGCTGCCTCCGCCTCTCTCTGTAGTGTCGAGTTCAACTCACTAGAGGCTTCGTCACCTTCGCCACCAGCTGCTGGATAATGCAAGTCAACGAAGGAAGATTTAATTATTAATTTACAACTAGTAATAAATAAAAAGTTTATCATAATAATGTTTGTTCAAGGATAAAAGAATTTTCTCAGCAGAATTTTTTCTAAGATCAATACAGCTCTCTTTGGTGGTATTGGCAGTACATACGGTACTGAAACGTTTGAAACACATCGATATTCCCAGACAATACAAACTACTACGTATGAAGCAGCTGTATTTCAGTAGAAACTGTGACGCTCACCGTGCTGCTGGTCTTGCAGCGACATGTGGTGCAGGCGCAGCTGCTGCTTGAGCTTAGAGTTGATGGCTTGCAAGTGTGAGCGCTCCATCTCAGAACGCTCGTGGTCACGTCGGAGGGTGCTTATATCACACTGCTCAAGGAAATGCTGCAATACACTAATTGCAAGCTCAAAGTTGAGACAAATTGAAGTACCCAATGAAAATATTTGGTCTTTTACAATCTCAATTATTCAAAAGTAGAATAATTGTAAATGAAAATAGATACTTTGAAAATTTCTACCACAGAAGAGAATTTGTTTATTTCTTTCCTAATGAAATGTATGAACACTAATTGCCAGCTCAAAGTCGAGACAAATTCAAGAACCCAATGAAAATATTTGGTCTTTTACAATCTCAATTATACAAAAGTAGAATAATTGTATATGAAAATAGATACTTTGAAAATTTCTATCACAGAAGGGAATTTATTTATTTCTTTCTTAATGAAATGTATGAACACTAATTGCCAGCTCAAAGTCGAGACAAATTGAAGTACCCAATGAAAACATTTGGTCTTTTACAATCTCAATTATACAAAAGTAGAATAATTGTAAATGAAAATAGATACTTTGAAAATTTCTACCACAAAAGGAAATTAGTTCATTTCTTTCTTAATGAAATGTAGGAACTGATCAAATAATTATTATATTTAAATTTAATGGAGTTTATCAGCAGACCTTAAGAAGAGTGATGTCTCCCTCCAGTCTAGCTCTGAGAGCGTCCATCTTGTCTTTTTCTTGCTGCAGCTGCTGCATTTGCTGCACAGCGGATGACAGGCGAGCTTGCAAAGCCAATATCTCTGCACTGCAATCCCCTCCACTGGCCGCTCCATCACGCTAATCAGCAGTTAATGTTTAGAACAGCTTCAACAGTTAACAAGAATAATTTTTTAATTACAACTATCCATTAACAAATACACTGCAATGAAATGAAAGTTCTCTGCAACAACATGAGCAGAACATTAAATTTCAAGAAAAGAACATTCAATTTCATCCAACTACAAGAAAATCATTGAGAAATATCATTGCAATCCAGCTCAAAATTGACCCCATTTACCTTGGCTGCACTCTTCAGAGCAGCATTTTCATGCTGCAGAGCAGAGATCTGCATGGCAGCCCTGGATAAATTTTGGTGCTGTTGCTGTTTCTGCAGCTGGGACTGCTGACTCCAGCGCACCACCAATGCAAGTTGATGGCGTAAGGCAAGATTATTTTGCGCCAGAGTTTCTGTTTTAAGAGTAAAACAATTGTGCACCATAGATAACTGAAGGCCTGGAAAACTTCAGTTACATCATTCATATTTAATGGATGTTATTGTGTCCGAGACTCTGAAGTGAGATCAGAACCACATAAAAATAAATATATACTATATATATTGAAGAAGTTTAATTGACGTAGTAAATTCTGCCACTGTCATTTTCTTAGCCACTGATCAAACAAACATTTTCTGACTTGTTTAAAAATAGGAGTTTTAATATACAACAAAAAATGTGTTTAAATCCATCCCACATTTGCATACCATGACTATCATGATTTCAACTTGTAGGCTTGTGTACATTTGAAGGGTGAGAGAATATTTTTGACACAATAAAAGAAAAGATAAGGTATGAAGGATGGAAAATCATGGTTCATTTTCCCTCATGGCCATCCTTTGGTGTAAAATGAGAACTTTATTAAACTGTTTAGTTAATGTCAAACAATACTAACAATTATTTTTGCAGCAAATTATTATAATTCTACAAACATATTAAATTGAACTAAAAATAGAGTGTGTGTGGGTGAAATTGTAAAGCCGTTGCCTACCTTTTAGCTCCAGGTTCTTAGTGACAACAGTACGGAGCTTGGCAATCAGGTCTTCTTTTGAGACCCCATCAACTGCTGACAAACTTGACAGAGTTTCCTGAAAATACATGACCATTTATTTTACCATCCTTCAAGAAAAAAATTTAAATCTTTGACATCTACTAGGGTAAATGAGTAAATAAGCAAATTAAATTTTCCAACTGCTTTCAGTCTGATGAGAAGGAACATTTATTATCTAATGTAAACCTCAATATCTAATCTACAATTTTGAAGAGAACCATAAAAAACATATAAGCAGGTTAAAAATATGAGAAAAGGATATTCTGCTGAAAAAAAAACAGTAAAACAATCCATCTACTGTATCTATTTGGTATTCCTGCAGTTTGAGTCAAGAACTAACAGCTTAATAGTTCACAAAGTATAACCTGAACTTCAGCAGCTGTGCGTTCACACGGAGAGCTCGGGTTGTTGCCGTTACTCTCAACAGAAGCCATGGGTGAGCCTGGTGAGGGGGGATCAGAGAGGGGAGGAGCACCACAAACAGCTTGACCCATGATTCCTTTCTCTGCTTTATAGTTATTTTTTGAAAAATTATCTTCCTGTTGAACCATTTTGAAAATTTCTGTAAAATAAATCAAGTACTAAGCATCATACATGATAGAAAAAAAATTCAACAGAATATGTTATTTTACAAATTTTTAATCAAGCATTCAAGCCATGCTGTTAAATTAGAAGCCATTCAGTGCATGCTGACATCATAATTTTAGGCAAGATTCCACTGTATAAAAAATTGGAATCTTTTAAGCCACAATATTTCATTCATAAGGAGAAAAACTTTAATCTAGAGGGTGAGTTCCGAGTATTCAAATCCTTAACGGAAAATTGGACAACCTTGCAGAAGCCATCTATGAATATGACAAATGCCCATGCAGGCATCTATTTTCACCCATGCTTACTTATTCATTCCCCCATATAACTTACCTAATTTATATTATAATAATAAGATAATTTTTTCAACATTTTCAAAAATTGCCCCATTTTCAGTTCATTTTCACCCATTTTTAAGAAAATTCTAGCAAGTTCCTGATTGGTTCAAATCCATACTTTTCATCTTCAGATTAGTGAATGAGTGAAAAAACCTGCCAGTCAACACTAACATGCCAATCTGGGACAGAATTCTTAAAAAATTTTAGATGAAAACTATTTTTTTAGGAGTGTTTCTCAAAAATGTCAGAATTCTTTATGAATTTTATTTAATAAAGATACTTAGTGTAATAAAATGAAATAAAATTCTGCAGACAAGATAAGGAATTATATTCAATAAAAGGACTCATCAAGAGTCAAGATAATTCATTGCAAAAATTTTGTTAGAAATGCCTGAAATTGACATAAGTATGACAGTCATGAGTCATGACAAACTAGGATTTTTGGCTTTTTCATGGTCTTTTATCTTGGCAAGACCAGGATTGAAGAAAATTTATACAAAAAAAAAAATATATCGCTTGTTAGGGCCTTGAGTGGTGAGCTTGGGACCCTCTAACTGTTCCAATATTTGTTGCCAAACAAGACTGCAGAAAACATTTCCCCTTAACACATTTCTCAGTGCTTGGTACCGCAATTTTTGGAGTACTTATAAGGATAGATGTTTGAGACAGGAGTTAGCATGTCCAACATGATTACTGAATGTTATAAATACAAACTCTGCCTTAAACATCCACAGCATTAAAATAGAACAGGCAGAAAATTAAACATGTCATTAAATATACATAATTTGCTGAGGTTAAGTTGAAAAGCCAGGGACAATTTCATATAACAACCTTCACAAAGGCTGGTCAGGTTAGGTTAGGTAAGGATAGGTTAGGCATGGTTCAGTTCAGTTAGATTAGAATATTTTGGGCTAGACAATATTCAGTAAAGATTGTTTAAAACACTGTAATGACACATGCCAGAAAAGGCTACAATTGTTTGTAGCCTTTTCTGGCTACAAACAACTTTTTGGTTTGTTTGTTTAAGAATGCGTGGTGAGAAGAAGAGAAAAAAGAATAAAGGTTAAAAAATAAGCACAGTGGCTGATCTGGTTTCATCCACCAGCACAAGGATGACTTGATGTACTGTCTTCACCCTATAATATGCTCTGTGCTTCTCATGAAAAAAGAGACAAAGACAAGGGAGTGGCATCTGCTGCCCACATTTGCTCCACCTGTAAATCATTAAAACAAATCTGTATTTACATTCAAATGCATCAAAGGGAGCTTAAAAAGTATAAAATGTTCCATGTGGTAAATAATGTCTAAAAAAATGTAACTCAGTACTCACAGCAGTGAGTGACAGAGAGCGCATTTTCTCGTCAACAAAAACTTGAGGTCACGGACAGACAGAAAGACAGACGGACAGACAGACAGATGGACATGGAGAGCACAATAGTGCATTTTTTCCATAACTGAGAAAATGCGCTAAAAAGACAAAAAAGGTAGAGCTTCTTAGCAGGCTGTGTTCTCTTATTGCAGACTCTTGTAGCAAGGCCTTCAACACAATGGTTGATTTTACAATGTGAAAGAGACTACCCTCAAAGGATGCTGCTGCCAACACCTGCAGACCTCTGTAAAGGATCCTGCACACTGCACAGGTTGGGAGTGTGCTGAAGGCTGCAAGAAGTCTCGGAGAATCTTTTTCAAGTCCATCTTTGTATAGAAGGATTTCACTCCTTTAGAGAGGGCAGATTTTTGCAAGAAATGGCCAGAGAGAAACAGACAGAAAACCAAGGAAAATCAGGTCAACCATTCTCAAGATGTCAAGACAACACCGGCTGCTCACGGGCAGTCAGAGGAGCTGGGAGGCAATTAGGAAGTCATATCCATAGATCCAGGCCTGTAAATAATGAAATAATGTAGGAAGCAACCGCAAGTAACCCTTGAAGGCGGCGCATCACCAAGTAACCCTTGAAGGCGGCGCAACCCTTGAAGGCAGCGCATGACCAAACTCATCATAAGGTCATTCAACAAAGTGAAAGTGCACAAAAAGTTTTGGAATGCTTTTACACAAACTCAGATTCTGTTTAAAGATAAAACGTGAACTCTTAACTGAAGGGCAGTGCAACAGAGTTGTGGCTCTGTGGCTTATAACCTCCTATGGGCCCAGCAAGTGAAGTTATCTCCAGAGCATCAATAAGCTAACAAATCAGTGTGGTGCAAACTTTATCTTAAAGGCAAAGATAGCTTCCGTGTAGGGGTAGTGTATAGATCACCAAACAGGTCCTATGATAGTCAAAAAGTACTGAACAGCCTTTTATGGAACACAACTTTCAATAGGTCACATATGTGGATCATTGGTGACTTTAACCATCCAGAAATAGACTGAGTAGATGAATCCTCTCCAAGAGATGGGAATCACCTAGCATCCCTGTTCTTGGAGTCTGTGTAAGACTCATTTTTAATCCAGAACATCACCAAGCCAACCCATTTGAGGGGTAAACTGACCCCAAATATTCTAGATCTAGTATTTACTAGTGAAGAATCAATGTAAGATGAGCTTCACCAGGAGGCTCTGTTGAGCAAAAGCTACCACCAATCGTTGTTTTTCAGTAATATGTGCTATGCAGAAAAGGCGCTTTGGATTCGGAATCATGAAAGCTTGAACTTTCCTAAAGGCAACTATGTTAGGCTGTATGCAAAACTCAAAATAAAGCTTAAAAAAATTGGTGGTATTGCTGCCTGCCATTGCAGTGAAAATATTTGAAAAAAATATGGCAGAAAATTAAAAAAAGAACCCAAAAGCCTTCTTTTTGTCAGATAGTTCAAAGTGTAAAACAAGCAATCTTATTTCTGATTTGAAAGTAGACCAACAAAAAAATATCCTCTGATGACCGTGATGAGGGCAAGGCTAGTGTTTTCAATCAGTTCTTTATGACTTTTAGAGTGCGTTCACAAATTTCACAAATGAGGACTTGAACAGTATTTCAGCTATTGAGAGCGCCTAGGAATTCTAGGAATGTGTTGGTCATTGAGATCCACAACGACCACAAGGACAGATGGAACCCTCCAGGCTCCAGCGCCACTCACTTTGGTAGTGACTAGTGGGGAGAGAGGTGGTGCAATTTGAAGCCTGAAGGCCCTCTAAGGTCTAAGAGTGCTACTTGTTAAGGATGGCATACTTGTTTTTGCATTGAATTGGGTGCTGAAGTGCTCTAATGCACCAGGGCGACCAGGCCATCCTGCACGCTAACGGCTAATCCAGGGCCCAGGCCGTCCTGCGTCCTAATCCAGGACCCAGGCCATCCTGCGGGCTGCGTGCTAATCCAGCCTATCCAGGAGCCAGCCCCGTGCTCCTATCCGGCATTTGCATCAAGTGGGATAAGCGCGCTGCTGCTCCTGCTGCTGGTCTGCTTGTATTAGAGCGTGTGGCAGCGTGGCCCATTCCATTTCTACTTTTGTCTGCCATTCTCCTCAATTACATGGGTGATGATGGGTACATGGTTATTTAGAAGGCTACTAGCAACTTAGCAAGTAGCAAGTTGATGATGATGACAGGTTGTAGGTGTCTAGGTGACGAAGAAGTCCAGCGCAGACCACTTGTGTTGACTTGGAGATCTTGGAGTTTGTGTGGAGTTTGTTGTTGACAGGGAGCTAAAATTTTATAGGCATATTGAAATGCAAGTTAATACATCCAATAAACTGCTTGGGCTGATCAGACGCTCCTACGAGTACCTAGATATAGAAATGATGAAGCTGTTGTTCACCTCTGTCGTGCGCCCAAACCTAGAGTTTGGAAACGTTGTGTGGTCACCGAGACTTGAAAAGGACAAAAATTTAGTTGAGAGTGTTCAAAGACGTGCAACAAGGATAATACCAGGATTAAAGGGCAAGTCTTATGAAGAAAGATTGAAGATTATGAAGCTTCCCACGTTCCCAGTCTCCGTTATTGTCACCTGCGTGGTGACCTCATTGAAGTATACAACTATACAAGTATACTCATGGTTTGTACAAGGTCCCAGAAGGATTAGGCTACTAGAATTTGAAACAAGAACCAACACCAGGGGCCACAGCTATAAATTAAAAAACTGCGGTTCAACTCATCGACGCGACAACACTTCTTCTCGCTTCGAGTCACTGACATGTGGAACAGCCTCCCTGAAGATATTGTTGACGCTCCGAGTATGAACGCATTCAAGAACAGACTAGACAAGGCCATGCAAGAGCATATGTTCAGTCTTAAAATGCCTCGTACCCTACGGAACAACTGATATCTAGAAGCGATTTTAAATCTACCATCCGTAAGGCCAGACTAGTCAAGAAAAGTACAAGAATCGGCGACAGGCCTATCCAGGCCTATTTATTTAATGCCGAAGATACCATACTATACTATACTACTATACTTGTAGTTGTAACACCTGGACTCAGCAATGCTGCAATGATTATTAAATTAAAGACTTCATCTTCTCACTTTCAGTTGCACTCTTCTGTCTGCTGATGCTTACTCTCCACGTTGTCAGCAGTCTCTCATGATGTGTACAGTGTAGTGATGTGAGCTTTGTGAGGCAAATCGGTGATAGATCCAGTGCAAGTTAGCAAGTTACCTAGCAACCACCGTCCACCAACGCCGCGGCCCGATCCTGGCTCCCTAATTCTCTACTGATTCCTACTCATAGAGATGGTTTGTCAGATAAACAGGAATGAGGTTAGTGAGAGCAATCAGCAATCTGGTCAATAAGACGTGAAGATGTCGGTGATAGAGTTGATGAGATGCTAGACACATGACATGGGTACTTGCTCAGAAAATGTTAGCTACGCACATTCTGCCGGGCCGCCGGACGGATGCATGCTAGAGGCCAATGTCCACAATTCAGTTTATATTCCTTTCCGAGCGTAATCATGCAAGAGGGCAAAGTAGCAACTGCAATTTAGTGCTTGAAGGTGGAATGCAGCCGTGCACCACCGAACTTGTCAGATGACCCGACCAATCAGCCCTAAAGGAGGAACGCCAGCACATTTCCGGATGACCACCAATCAGCCGCGGATCAAGCCATCCATCAGTAACCAGCCCATGACATCAATTTGCTTTAAATATCAGGAGCTTTACGCCACCATATTCTGAAGCGAATAGCCCGGAGAGTAATGGTTGTCCACCACTGAACGTTGCATCGAATCATCACTACATTGCCTGACTTTAGCTCAAACTGTAACTAGCGGACAACGGACTGCGACCAGCCAGCCCACTGGCCCAGCACACCAGTGGAACTGCATGAACACTCATGGTTGAACTATATAAGATTGACCCACGAGAATTTCCGTCTCTCAATTCAGCTTTCTTGTTACGTCACGTAGATCGAGAAACGTAAACAAACCCGTCATTCCCATGACGGATTGGTTGACTGGTATAATCGAATTTCAGTGATTGGTTAATGCCCGTGGAGTCACTGAGATCAGTGACGTCACAGGCGAACAACGAACTTCATCCGCAAAAATGGGCTTCTGATGGGGGGTCAACCACTCAACCTTGTACTAGTTCAACCAATGGGCAGGGAGGCCCATTGGTTACAGTTCAGAGTACCAAGATTGGAGCAGAGAGGCGCGGGTTCCATCCCAGCTCTGTGCGCCAGTTTCTGGTCAGAATCGGCAAGGAGGCCGGGCGGTTAAGCACAGCAGAGAGTTGCGAGTTCGAGACCGCAAAATGCTGTGAATGTGCTGCGATGTTAAGAGTCGGAGACAGGCCATAGGCTTAATAAACGCTGAAACCGCTATTATAACCATGTGAACACTGTCGTGCACCACTAGACGGTCACTTTTAGGGTTGATTCGGCACATGGGACAGATACAGACGGCTCCGGCCCGTTCTGTCCAGGTGGTGTAAAATTTTTTCGCGTATTGACAGACGATGCTGGGCCATTCTACGTCAGGCTACTTTTCTGTGGGCTGATTGATCTAATTCAATGGATGTGATCTGTCTGGTGGCTTGCCGCTGATAATGTTATAGTCAAAATGTGTTATAGGATACGTTCTTGAGGGAAGGGATCACGATAGTCCATTCGATGCACGGCAGTGGTGGTCTCCGACAGGCGTCCCAAAATTTATAACTCTAGCCAATTGCTTTCGCTTTCATTGATTAAGTTATTAGTTACGCTGCAAGCAATTCTTTACTTGCATGTACGTACCGTTTACAGGCGCTTTACTGACGTAGCTTGGGTTCAAAGAGCCACAAGTACCACCACCATTCCGACCGTCAGAAACCCCTAAAATTGCTTGGAACGAAGGTAAAAAATGCGTGTTTGAATAATTTCAAATATATTAGAGCGGATCATCATACACGATAAAAACAAATATATGATCAAAATTTTCGAAGAAGCCTATAAGCCTTCTGAACAGAATAAGAGCGTACTGCCATCTCGCCAGTTTCGCTGCTCGGATAACAGTAACAATAAAATAAATACAGAAAACTGACTAAACTGATTATGACTTGAAACAGAGCTCCAGCTACGATTGAATGTTCACCTCATTCCTGCGTGTTGTCCGAGCATCATCTAAATTCTAAATTCTTGCATGGTGCTATAGTGTGCCGTATAATTATTGAATTATAATAATATAATTCTTGCACAGGGGGACCAGCGATATGAATAAACGACGCTTTATCAAAGATTCTCATGGTCTTCTTCAACTACTAATCGTGGTAAACTTAAAACATATACATAAGTTGAATAAACACTCTCCACACATGTCGAGTGGCCTTTTCTCAATGATGACGCTTAATACCTACTAGGGTAGCACACACAGTTCATTCACAAACTCAAACGCACGACTCAATGCCCCATGCCAATGCCAGATGATGCTAATAGAAAAATTACTCACAATATAATCACTCTAATATCAATATGAAAAATCTGTTAACAAGTTTTAAAAATCAGGAAACGGAAGTAACTTGTCAAATTCTTCTGAGCTAGGAAGGCCAAAAAACATACAGGACCAAGTTGTTGCACACAGTGGATACACTTAAATTAGTAACTGTGAACGTCACTCCTGTTTCACACACATTTTTCTTTATTCCTAATGTGATTTCACTTTCTGCTGTACTACTCTAATACTTTGTAGATTCACACACAAGAATATAATTTTCTATCTTTCTTACGAGCATTGAACAGGTTGAAATGCTCAAGTTTATACTTGAGGCAGGTAAAAGCTCTTGGCGGGCTACAAAGAGTTCACGAACGTGGGGCACATAGTTACTAAAATATTCGGACTTGGTAGATATCACTCATAATAAGAAACACTGTTGGACGGAAGTGACAGATGCGAGAGGAATTTCTCGTCCAGAAGTCACGGCTGGGCGGGGATCTGAAGAGATCAAGTCGTAAGAAAGAAATGAACAAAAGCCACGAATCTTGCGGACAGACACACAATTTAGTCAGACAGATTCAAGCAATCCGTCTCTAAACCGATTTGTTCAGTAACACGTAATGCACATTTAAACACATCTGTTTGGTAACACGAAATGTATATTTATTCTGTTAACTTTTCAGCAATGGTTGAGTTTAATTAGCTCAGCGAGCATGAATCTTATGAATACTGTCGCTGAGCAGGCTGTTGCCTGTTAAGATAAGGTGGCCCGATTTTATTAGTTCCGTTTCGTCGATTTCGAAGGAGTTATGACGAACAAAGTTCATGTTGGTTGGAATGCCAGATCGTAATGACTTCAGTTATGACTGCCAAATATGTGGCCGGCAGAGAAAGTGTTCCTCTCTCATATTTCATTGTCGTGGGAAGCAGCGAGGTCCCATCGTAGTAGGACAACGCCTGAGGGGTTCACATCAGCCTTGAAGATATTCTTAGGATTCACAAGGCCGTACTTGACGCCGGAAAAAAGATCAGTGACAGTGTAGCCGTTGGGATACGTCATGCCAAGCTCTGCTGGCTTCACTGACACCTAAGGCGAGGCAATGATATCAGATAACAAGAATTTCATCAATGATAATCGGTAGGAGTTACTCTACAACAGGAACGGAGGAAAAGTTTCTTAAAATTAATCGTAGAAAATAAGGTAGACGTTTCTATGAATGATAATTAACGTAAGAAATATTCAGCTTTCACATATGCTGGTAACTCCAATTAGCAATGAAATGACAGTGAAATATGGAAAAATTGCCCTAACACATATGAATTACGAGAGAAACAAGCACATCACAGACACGGCTCTCACCTCAGAAGGTGTCCCGTCTGTGCGGCGGTTGAGGAAGGCGATGGCGTAGGAGTAATAATTCTGGTCTACGGGGGTGATGGGACGCGCCCAGATCTCGATGCCTTTGTTCTGCAGAAGTGAAGTAACATTATCACATCTTGATGTTGTTTTGAATCATAATCCGCGTTAGTGATAAAAACAGTCAAAATAAAACATTCAGGGAACTGAAATATATGGGGTGAATACCTTGATCCTGCCACGCAAAAATGTGTCGGATAACAGTTGAAAAAAATGTTATAAGTTCGATAAACTTGAGTGATGGAACACACCAGGAGTAACAGGTGGGTGTTCAGCGCGTGGGCAACAAGTGAAGCATGTCCGGTGGTCCACGGGTCCAGCTGTCACGTCTGCATTCAATTTACTTCAGAGGAGTAGGGGAATCTTTTACCTAGTACAGGGTGCGGCGTGGGAACTTACTCTTTTAAAAAAATCACAAAGTAAAAAGTATTAAAGATAGCGTTTTAATTCTTTCTTTTTTACAAAGAGCTACATTTAAAGTTTCGTTGGGTTTACTTACAAGTTTAATTCTTGAATATTACATCTTGTAGGTGACCTCCATGTCTTTTTGCATATCAAAGAAACGCATATTGTGTGTTTTCCTTCGGTATTGTTCTTGACAATGTGGTTTTGCAGCCTGATGAGTGCCTCGGTGGTGCCTCTGAGAGGTCGAAAACCGTATTGCACGGGAGAGATTAACTGTTGAGATTCCAAGTGCTGTATGGTTAAACATAAACTAAAAAAGACTCAAACAAGCTGAGATTCTCCCACCTCAGAGGGCGTGCCGTCTGTGCGCCGGTTGAGGAAGGCGATGGCGTAGGAGTAATAGTTCTGGTCTACAGGGGTGATGGGGCGCGCCCAGATCTCGATGCCCTTGTCCTGCAACAAAAAAGGCCCATTGTCGACAATGGTATAAATGAAAAAATTCAGTTCACCAGAGTGAGACAGCACAAACGCATACTGATGCTGTTGCCCGAAACCCAAAACGCATCAGAGATTAACACCGTCAAAATACAACATCAAGCTAGTGGGAATGATCGGGTGAGTTTAGATTTTAATGCCGTTGTCCTGCAGCATAGACCGTCTCATTGTGGACAAGATTCGAAATGAAACACTCGTTATACTGCAGTAAGCCCTGATGATGCTGCTATTTTCAGGGCTCATACAACACGTGGAAGCTGGCAGCAGCCGACAGAAACAAAATTTGGTAAAGATCATCTTGTCTTAATACGGAAAAAAAAGAATACCGAATGCGATTGAATTAGGATTCAAAAGAGTAGTGTAGAGGGTGTGGGGGTAGGCTCAAGTCTTAAGAAATTAATATAGCAAAAAAACTGCGCGAATGAAGCCTGCCCGATGGTCCACAGGTACAGGTCCACGTCTGTGTTCACAACCACTTCAGAGAACTGGGGTGCGTTGTTATACCTTGCATATGCTGCGGCCTTGGATGCACAAGGGGTCCTGGTTCACGGTTGTGTTCAGAATTATTTCAGGATAGGACTGTTATACCTTGCATATGCGGCGGCCTTGGATGCCTAGTGGGTCCTGGTTCACGGTTGAGTTCAGGATTATTTCATAGGAGGATAGGACTGTTTTACCTTGTATATGCGGCGGCCTTGGATGCCCAAGGGGTCCTGGTTCACGGCTATCACGGCTGTGTTCAGGAGGATAGCCTTGTAGTCTGGCTTGATGGTGCGTAGGTCGACGGACATGAGCAGAGGAGCCGCAAATATCGCCCACATCGCCATCTGAGACTTGCTCTGCTCGTAGCTCAGCCCGAAGTTGCCGATGATCAGCTGTTGTACGGAAATATTTGTAAAAACTTCTTAGCCAAGACAAATGTTCATCAGATCTCTGATGATCTGACTAAATAAATACACAAGATCAGTAGTCAAGATGTATGCATTATGTAATTTTATGGAAACAGCACAGCTCCAGAACAATACCTGCGCATATAAACGTAAGACAACCTTTCTTTATATGAGGAAATATTTGTACGTTCACAGTTGGCACAATATTTCAAGAATGCATAAATGGTCGTGGTAACAATGCTCGACTGAGAAGGAGCATGAACAGGATTATCTATAAAGCAGTGGGCGGTCATCACCATGTCGGGGTCATTCCAGTGGCCAGGGCCGGCGTTAGGCACGATGCTGTCCTGGTTGTCACCGTAGTAGTCGATGATACGCGTCACCGAGTCCCATGAATCTTGAATGTCGTCAAAATTACGCCACAAGTTGCACGAGTTGATGATCGAAGTCCAGTTAGGCTGCAAACCCAATATTATCAACAAGAGTTGAGTGTGTTGGCATGATTTATGTTACCACATGACAAAATTTGCATGAAATTAGGGATTGCTATAAAATATATTTCAATATATATGACAATGACAGGAACACTGTATAGCTATTTATTGGTAAGAAACTCAATAAATAACACATAGGAACAACAAGGAATAATAACTATCTGTGCAATTGATCTTTCAATAAAAAACCTTATTCAAGCATGCACCCGTTACACTCAATTGACACTGAAGCCAGCAAAGGTACGTACGTCATCAAGCGACATCGTCGTTCTTCGATCAGATGCCTCTTTTAGGCACTGATACACAAGGCAAAAATCTGAGCATAATAATACCTCAATGCCGGCGTAGATCTGATCAGAACAATACCTCTATGCGGGCGTAGATCTGATCAGAACAATACCTCTATGCCGGCGTAGATCTGATAGACGGGCCAGGAGCAGGAGTAGGTCATAGGGCGGCCGGTCTGGTTCAAGTAGTGGCCAAATAGCGGGTAGCCTACGCGGGTGAATCAGAGTTATGAAATAAGCACCTATCACTTATTTATAGCATTCAGTTAGGTCTACGGCTAAAAAGTAAATTTTGAAAGCTAAGCTGCGAGTACTTTAAGTAACACAAGTATGGAAAAATACGGGGGGTCTTTGTGAGAACAAATATCCTGCATTCAAACTTTTAAAAATCAAGCAATCACAATTTTTAGAAAATTGTCATGCCATTGATAAATTGGTATAAAATACACATTAAATTTTAACGCAATTTGCTATCCTTTCCGAAACATAAAATTATTTATATCCGATATTTGATTCTTATTTTTAGCGCATTTTCTCATTTATGGAAAAAATGCACTATTGTGCTCGCCATGTCCGTCTGTCTGTCCGTCCGTGATCTCAAGTTTTCGTCGACGAGAAAAGGCGTTCTCTGTCACTCACTGCAGCGAGAACTGAGTTATATTTTTTAAAGATTAGCCAATACTTTAATGTTAATTGAGGACTTCAGTGAATGCGCAGCACTAACCAGTATCCATATCTGAGGGCAGGGAGTAGCAGCCGTCCAATTTGACGTAGTCAACTTGCCAGTCAGCAAAGGTCTGAGCATCAACCTGCAGGTGTCCCAATATGCCAGGGTAGCCCGCGCACGTGTAGTTTAGGCACGATGCTGTCCTGGTTGTCACCGTAGTAGTCGATGATGCGCTGTACTGAGTCCCATGAATCGTCGATGTCATCAAAATTACGCCACAAGTTGCAGGAGTTCATGATCGAAGTCCAGTCAGGCTGAAGAAAAAGTTCAAGTTAGTAGTCGCTCTACTAAGAGACTAATAACAATCATAGAAAATAATAGACGAAGTTCGAGAACCAACAACTTGAATGTAGGTTTGATCCAAATTTTAGCGGAACGGCATTGTTTTAAACGAATGGCTTGCGTAATGTGTAACTGCAGTAAAGCATGGGGGAAACACAACTGATGAAATTCTAGGCTACAAATAGTGAAATAGCACCGACTATCATAAACCAGGTGCAAGGCATCAATGAAGAATACACAATAACATAATTCGTGGAAGTTCCAGGAACCCACTTAGCAGTGGTTCAGTAAACTCATATGAGTGAATCAGAGAATCATAACTTGAACACTCAATTACTAATATCCTATCCTATATATAGAACAATCTGCACTGTTCATTCCTCAAAGCATGAACAAGAGAGTAGATAATCTCATATGAGTGAAATAGAGAACCATAGCTTGAACACTCTATTACTAATATCTTATCTTATATATGGAACAATCTGCACTGCTCATCTCCACATAGCATGAACAATAATTGGATATAATTGTATTGTATATAATTGGACCTTCATGCCAATGAGCAGCTGGTAGTAGGGCCAGGAGCACGAGTACACCATCGCACGGCCCGTCTTGTTCAAGAAGTATCCAAACTCCGGATAATCTGTAACAGATTGTTCAGGGCTATTTATTTCATTTCGAAGTAATCAAAAAACGAATTCACCATTATATTCGTCCTTTCTTAACTAATTTTATTACACAGATTAAATGACTTACTGAAAATAGTGAATGTACATAAAGCTGTTCTGCAGGAAAGGAAATGGGTCGACGGAAAATATTTTTGTACAGAATAAATCAAATTTGCTGGATATACGAACATGAAGGTTTTAGAATAAGATCTATAAAAGAAGCGATATCTTCTTGAAGTTATGAAGCGAAATTTGAACGTAGGTTCGAGCTCCAAGAGTATAATATAGCCACTTTCGTACCGTCACGTCCGATGCTCGACAGTTTGGCGGCAAGTGTAGTTACTACAAAGCCTAATTTCCAGAAGGTATATAAACCCGTGATTGAATGCAGCAGCTGTTAATAGCGAAGTCTCGGAGCTAGACGGACATGAATGGGTGCTAGTGAATCTGCTGTAAAGACGAAGTGACAGTAGCCGGATGGACCGGTAGTGTGTGGTGGAGGACAATGACAATGGGCAGAACAATGCCCGTAGTAAGACCATCTATAGCCGTAATACTAGTGAGAGGCATCCAGAAAGTTCTCCAAATTATTAGACATGGATTGGGTGGAACCAAGTCAGAGAATGGTCCGGCCATGGCTGGAGAGACTCAAAGATGAGCAATAATACCTTAGTCTCTTCGGTTGTCTTCTATGACAATTCAGCTGATTCAAGATCACTAATGCGGCAACAATATCATATAGAACAATCACGACACGTAATGCATCTAAGTACGACAGCCGAATATACTCAATGATATCGTGCGCCCCTAATCTCTGTCAAGTCCGTGACGGTGTCTTAGGCAGGCGCCGTCGACAAGGAATCTCGCCAGCGTTACGGGTCAGGCCAAACGGCAGGCCTCCTTCTCCTCCTTCGGCACCTCTACCTTTTTCGCCACAGGTCAAGGGACCTCGGTCCTCTACCCTTCTCTGTGGCCGCTACCTCTTCCATTAAGCAACACCCTTGCCCTATATTCCTCGAGTCTCTTCTTTTATTTTATCCTTCTACTGCCCAGAAAGCTTCACCCAAACCCAGGATCAAACCAATGCTTGGTCAGCTCTTCCAGTGACTTGGCGGGAACTATTCTTCCAATTCTCACAGTGTAATGCTTAGAAAAACGATAGGTATTGAGGTCTACCCTCTTTTGCATCAACATCGCGACTGTATCTGTGACGCCTGCATGCAGGCTTATTTAGTCCCAGCATGGCACCCCTTCCCTTCGCTCTGCCCCTGTTTTTACTTTCTATCCCATCTGCATCCTCCCTTTCCAATGTAACGGCATTCACCAAAGATTTCTGATCGCTCATAACAGCTTATCCTTCCGCCTCAACTCTCTCAATTGCCAAGCAGCCAAAACTCTGGAGCAGTTCCTCCCGCACCTCGTGACCTCCATTGCAACCTCGTCGCTGTATAAACAAGCCAAGAACAACCGCGTCGAGTATGAATGTAAGCCAAGAACAAGAAAGTCCGTTCCATCTCCCACAAGCGCGTTCGAAGGAGTTTGGCTCTCGAGCGCGCAGTGCTCAGCTTTGGAGTGAGTTCGGACCCCTGCAATTCTCTGGCATCTCACAGGCTTAGGGCGTGGAGCACATCAGCCGCCACATGGAGGCATTCAGAGACGCCTATAGTCCACACAGCGCATAACTTCGCATCACTCTCCTTCCCCACGTCTCACATTCCTGTGTGACAGCTCCGAGGCGGCCATCTTTCCACCCTCTCTGCTTTCGTCCGTCTTCCTTCACTCTCGTTCACCACATGAATCGCCCTCCACGTGTGCATGACGGCCAGTGCAAAAAAAAACGACAACAAGGATCCAGGTCTTCATGGAAAGTAGTGTGAAAATAAATGTCTAGAATAGCATCGATGTACTGGTGACGACTAGAAGTTATAGAAGACAACCGCCTGATAATAATTGAGACAGGGAGGGTCAAATTTGCCACCGTTCCAGCCAACACGCTAATGTCTTCTTCTTGTGGATTAGTCCATACATTGACTAGACAATACCATGATAAACGAGGACTTCAAATTACCTCGTTTCGCGAATCGGTGAAAAGTGAGCCAAATCTATGAAGAAAACTTGAACTGAAACGAGCAGAAAATATGTTTTGCTGTCAATAACTAGCAATATATTAATAAAGGCATGGCCATGCAAGAAATAAAATGATCAAGTTACAGCCACAGGAATCAACATCACATGCTACGAAATACTCTAAGTGTGAGTTTATTCTGTAAGAAATATTTGGTGATGATGAATATATTTCAAATTTCTGACATGAAGCAGTGCCTCTTAGGAACAGATGAAGATTCAAGACAATAAAAGAAGAAAATACCGAGTACATGGAAGGCGGTACGTACGTGCAACTCGCGCATCACGAAACTGTTATATGTAGGATTACCAAGCCAATCAAGAGAGCAGAGGATTATTGTAATACATTGCTAATGCAAAGAAATAGAATTCGGAAATGCTGGACCAAAACACAAAACCTACTTGACAAAATAAATAATAAAACGTAGAAAACTACAGGGTTCTAACCTCTGTCCATGTCTGCAGGATGAGAGAAGCAGCCATCCAATTTGACGTAGTCAACTTGCCAGTCAGCAAAGGTCTGAGCATCAATCTGCAGGTGTCCTAATATGCCAGGGTAGCCCGCGCACGTGTAGTTGCCGTAGTCTTCGTAGATACCAAATGTCAGACCGCGATTGTGCATCTGAAACAATGGCATTGTTGTTGTTGTTGTAATAAAGAGCTGACCAAGAGCATAACAATTAAGAGCAATCACACTGAGCAATCAATTCACGCCGTAACCACCGTAATTATATGAGACAGATAATGCAATAATATTATGTTATCCAAGTGGGCATCATCTTAAGTACATTTAGCCCCCTGATAAATGTCTGAAAATTCAAACTATCAGCAAATTCTTGTACTAGATCATATGCTTAACTTACTCAGTTTCTCAAATATCATCCGCCACATTAGGAATTCGCAACAACAATGAGTGAAATGACAAGAACAAGCAAGAACATGTTTATAAATCGTTTATGAAGGCAACAGTTCTAAAACCATGCGAACGTTCACATCCGCGGTCATAATACTAGCATCGTGGGACAGCAATGTGCACACGCACGTAATCAGCCAAAGCACGAATGCCGGAAGGGAAACGTAAGGGATCAGGCTGTAGTCTGCCTTGAGCATCTCTGCTACGAGCCAGCCAGCAGTCGTCCAGGGACACCATGCTGTAGCCTGCCTGTAGGTAGCCCTCCGAGGCTATGATGTCAGCCATTTGCATGAACAACTTCTCACTGCAAACAGAGTAACATTTGATATGGTGGTCATCACATACACCTGGCAAAGGCTATATACAGGGTGCGGCGCGGGAACTTACTTATTTGAATTGCGCGCCACGTGGCGGCCATTAGTCCTAGGAAGGTGGCGCCATGCGCAATATGGTGCGCGGGCTATGAAGTTTTTCGTCCACTCAGTTCAGTTGCTGTCTCTTATACACATCTAGATGTGTATAAGAGACAGACTCAAGGTCAACGGTAGAAAAGCTGCCAAAGGCCGCTTTCTTCCTTTTTCTTTATCGCTACGATTAAATTCGAGGAAGAAACAATCCAAAGATCAAATAGAGCTTTAAAATGTTGAAAGCAAACAGCCTAAAACTCCGAGCTCTAATTAGATTGTTTTCGTTCCTCAAACGAAAATTAAAACCAATGGATAATAACTTAAGTGTCAGACGTCATGTGTTTTCTTGCTAACTGCATTTGTGGTGCACTTCTTCAAACATAGCCCATGCCCTCTCACAAAGTTGTGATAATAATTATTTTTTATGTTTCACGCAATGATTTTTCCCCCAACCACTCTTGCACATTGTTCTGCAGCTCACTAATGGGAAGAGACATCCCTACTTTCTCCATCCCCTTGATGCAATTTTCAGTACCTAGTGAGCTAAATTTCTCTAATTAAAAAAGCTAATGAGTTAGAATGGTTATTTTGAGCAAAAGATAAAAATTTTGACCAAAATACTCTATGTTTACTTATGCACAATAATATATTCATTTAAAAACTATTTTTGATAAACTGTAGGGTAATAGAGGACCATTTGTGGGGTAAGATAGGACTGCTTGTGGGGTAAAACAAGATCATCAAGTGGTCCTGTCTTACCCCATGTCCAGTCCTTTTTTACCCAGTTTTAGAATAGATGTCAGGCAGTGATGGTAGCAGGTGGGAATGCCTAGTATGTCTCAAAAGTTGCTTGTTACTTGAGGTTACCTGCCTACATCCACAAACCTGGCCAAAAAATTTCTTGTTATCAGACAGCGCTTATTTCCCAAATAGGGTTAACTAGTTTGTGACCCTTCTTTACATGGGTTTTCTTTAAAAATTAACCAAAAATTCATTATTTGCAGAACAGGGTTCAAACAAACACTGAAATGACTGGCAATGATTGCTCTAACATATTCTTCCATCAAATTAAATTCAGTACAATTAGAATGCATGCCATGGGCCAGTCCTTTCTTAACCCATGAAGGCTGTGATCCTGTCTTACCCCATTTGACTATATATATAATTGATATCATTAATTTGGCTGGAAATAGCTAATAAGTGTATATGATAATGATAATGGGGCTAAGTTATTTTAGCCAAGACATTTTCATTATGAAGCAAAACTGTGAATATGGGAATGGCACATTTAAAATTAAAGGAAACAAAATTTCAAATTATGTTAAAAAAGTTAAAATATTTAAATAAATTTCAGTCTGGATTTGACTCCATGATTCCCAGTCTAATTCAGCTTGTTGATACAATATGACCTTTTCTGGTTTTTGCATTTTTTTTACTTTTTTGGATAAGATTGCAAGAAATGTGAAGTTAATATTACAAGCCTATTCTAATTTAACTGATGCAGTAATTTGAATACCGCTGACAGTTATTTTTGTCTATCCAGTGGGTCATAACAAAATATATGAGGTTTAAGATCCACGGACTTACTGTTTTTTACCTGATGCAGTTATTTGGATCATTCTGGCAGTCATAATTGTCAATTAAGTTAGTTTTCCCAATGGATCTTACATATAAGCATCAAGAAATTTGTATAATTTACCTGATGCAGTTATTTGGGTCATTCTGGCAGTCATAATTGTCAGTTAAGTTAGTTTTACCAATGGATCTTACATATAAGCATCATGAAATTTGTATAATTTACCTGATGCAGTTATTTGGATCATTCTGGCAGTCTGTGTTGCATCTGAACCTCTGCCAGGCCAGCCATCCCATTGGGGGCGTTCTGGCCAGGCCATTTTCTAGAGCACTCACACCCAGGACTATGAGCACCAGGAGTGCTAAACTACTTCTGCCACATCCATCCATGATGTGGAACAATTTAAACTTGAATCAGAGGAATATGTTTGTATATAAGACTAATATAAAGAGTAATAACTGCAAATGAGAGCATCAGTACATCATTGTAAATATTACAATCTTCTTCATTTCAAATTTATAAAGTAAAAAATTTCATATATACATAGAGCAATAGCCAAGCTCTTCTAGAAAGAATTTCTCAATAGAAGCATGGTTGAAATATATATAATTTCTTTCAGTTTTGTATAGCTGGCAGGTAAATGTAAATATTTATGATGTAAAATTAAGGTAGGTACTACTGTATATAATATACATGTAAGGAAAACAAGAGGTAATTGCAAGATAATGTGCGTTTAGAGGGTAGAGTCTGGTAGATTTATAGGACATAAAACTATTAGATCTATTGATAGTGTTGTGCAGTGTGCACTGTGCTATCAGCTACCTACCGTAAAATGGGGTAACTTAGACCACTTTTTTTTTATAAATGATGCCATTTTTTTACTAGCTAAATTAAACTTGAATTGAAACATGCAAAATACAGGTCTATACTATAGCTTTACTCATCATGATTTGCTGGCTCCTGCCTCTCATAGTCTTTATATAATTTCAAAAAAAGTGATGGTCTTTGTTACCCCAGCTCTTGGGTTATCTTAGACCAGGTGGTAAAATCAATTATATTTTCTGGTAAAATAACTCCAAATAACTCCAGGTTTTGGTGCATTGTAGTAGAACTCTTCTAGTTACATATGCAAATGACAAACTTGAGGAAAGTGTCTTAGTTTGCAAATGGGGGCGCCGCCCCATAATGAGGGAAATGTTACTACCTAATGGCAGCCCTGATGAGGTAATATTGACTAGCTTGGAAATCAAGTTAAAATTACCATATATAAGACTCAGTAGAGTCTGAAACATAAAGAAAAAACATAAATAGGCTGTCAAACGTAAAATATGTTATATATGGTAATTTTATATTAACTTCCAAGCCGGTCTATGTTACCCCGTCAGGGCTGACATTAGGTGATCTAAGTTCCCCCATTTGGGGGTGGGGCCCCCATTTGCAAACTATGACACTTTCCTAAAATTTGTCATTTGCATATGTAACTAGAAGAGTAAGAGTTCTACTACAATGCATCAAAAGTTATCTACAAAGTTATCTGCAGAGCAGCAATCAGCTAGAGAATCAGTGTGGTGTGAACTTACTCTAAAAGGCAAAGATAGCCTTCTCATAGGGGTCATTTACAGATCACCTAACAGCCTGTCTCTTATACACATCTAGATGTGTATAAGAGACAGGAGCATGTCATTCAGCAGGTCGCATACGTTGATCGTTGGTGACTTTAACCATCCAGAAATAGACTGGGCAGATGAATCTTCTCCAAGAGATGAGAATCACCCAGCATCCCTGTTCTTGGAGTCTGTACGAGACTCATTTTTAATCCAGAACATCACCAAGCCAACCCATTTTAGGGGTAAACAGACCCCAAATATTCTAGATCTTGTGTTTACTAGTGAAGAATCAATGATAGATGAGCTTCGCCACGAGGCTCCGTTGGGCAAAAGCCACCACCAATCATTGTTTTTCAATATTAAGTGTTGTGCAGAAAAG